AAAGGGGCAGATACTTGCAATTAAAACAAATACAGTTTAAACGTTAAAACCTTGCAAATGTTGGAAATACTGTATAACATACTGTATAACTTAACTATTACAAAAAAAAAAAAAAAGCTTTATAATCACAATCTTGATATTTGCACAACTTTTATAACTTTGTTTTCATTACCACCTTTCTTTTTAGGAATCTTAATAATCAATTCACCATTAGCTAATTCAGCCTTAATACCATCAGCTACAATACTATCCCTTGGAAATTTAAGATTCCTAACAAATTTTCCATAATACCTTTCAACAATTTTAGAATCCTCCTCATTATCACTTTTTTCATTTTTTTGAACTTTCCTTTTACGATGAGCTGAAATAGTTAATACACCCGTATCAGAAATTTCTAAAGAAATATCTGATAATGGAATGCCTGGAACATCAGCTCTAATAATATAATGAGTTTGCGTGGTTGAAATGTCAAGAGGAATTGTTGTCATTCTCGACGATTGACTTAGAGAAGTTCCAATAGTCATTGGTGTCAAAAAGTTAAGAGGAAGGATTTCAATTAAATCATCGAATAAATACGACATTTTAACGTAAACGAATTCAAGTAATAAGCAAGAAAGTGTTAAAGAATAAACAATACGACAATTAAAGATGTTTAATTATTCTATTTATATATAAGTAGATCTGTGAATATCATATGGTCATACAGAATGTTCTTGAAAACGCGATAAAATCCACTATCACGTGATCTACCCAAACTTTTTTTTAATTTCAGAATTTTCACACGTTCAAATCATGACAAATATGACAAATCATCAATTTATTCCAGTATTCATCAGATCAGTATAAATAGCCTTCAAAAGAAGGCAAAAAAAAAAAAAAAAACTTTCTGAAATTCGACTTGGTATTTACTATAAATACGTGTTTTATAATATACTGTAGTCATTATTAAATGTATGATTATTGTATTATAACGTCATTTATCGTGCTCTGAATAATATATGATAAATTTCTATCATATTTTTTTTTTTTAATAATTTGATAAAACAGTGAACTTCTACTACGAAAGGTCTATTCTACAATCAAATAAATTCGATTCCCCTTTCGCTTTTCTTCAAAATGTTTCTTAGTATTGGTAAATCTAGAAAAGCTAGTGATCCTAAAAAACCTAGTGATATGCCCCCCAAAAGAACTCTTAAAAGGCCTAATAATAAACAAAATAATAAAAAGAAAAATAAAAAAACTACGTCTACTTCTGATAATTCTTCAGTTACAAGTGGTATCTTTTTTTTTTCATAATACTGTATAAATATCCAAAAACCTATTGCTGCGTTCAAGTATAACATAATATTAATAATGGTTTAATGTTTACGGTAGTTGCGAGTGAAGCCATGAATAATGATATTCCTCCACCAAGTATCAATGATGGTGATGAATCCACCGTTGATGAAAAAGTTGTTAATGAACCCTTGATCAAAAAAAATTCTCTCCAAGATGAAAATCACATGAATGAAAATGAAGGGGGAGATCACGTGAGTCAGCGGTTCGATTCGTCAAACGGTCCAAGTCACAGTAACAAATCCGAAGTAAAACCCAATACTGTGATTCACGAAAGAAAAATAAATACTGGCCCTCCAAGCGAATCTGGTTCATCAATTACTGAAGGTTCTGTTGAGAACGTTTTATCTGACAATACGGCTCCAACTGAAGAACTGCGTGATGAAGGATGGGGCAGTTCTCCTAAAGATAATTACACGGATTATTATCATTCGTTTGAACCTAATCGCTTTCCTGATACGTCCAAGAATGATTTTAATTTCCTCTCTGATGAGTACAAAAATTATTACAATCACTCTCCTGATGAGTCCAAAAATGAATCAATCGCAGTTGACCGTAAGGATGAGGTGGATTCAGAATTGCAAAGTTTGTGATTTTATTTCTCTACTATGAGCTTAGTTTATGAACATATTATTTATTATTAACTTTCTTTGTAGAAAAATTGCATGCAGGTGATGCAAATGAGGATGCTACGAATATTAGTCAATGTATGTTATTTTTATCATATAAAATTTTTTTTCCTACCTTCCTTATTTACCGTTTTTTTTTTATAGATCCACTAGCATCTCGTGAGTTGAATGATAACACTATCAACAAAAAGTTTGGAGATCAATATTCTAATAACTCAATTTTATTTGAGATGCCAAAAAACTCTCAAAATATCGATGAATCCGACTCTCCACTCGTCAGTCAAGGATCGAAACGTTCTAATACCTCGGTCGCTATTGTTTCACGTGGACTTCCACGTGAATTATTCTCTAATAATCTTTATATAGGTTCGATTGAACAACTCCCACCCATAGGTCTTGCTTTTTATTGGCTTGGTTGGTACACGGAAGCTGCGTTCACATGCGTCGCTGATAAACTTGGTCTTGTGGACCGATACACAGGAATTCCGCTTAGTAAATTGTTTATTTGGCTTTATTCTCCTGAAAGTTGGATGGGTATCAAAAATGAAGATTTGGCACAATTAGAAGCTGCAAGAACGATGAAATTAGAATAGTTGTTATTTACAACGGTTATACGTAAATGTTATTATGAAATCGTTAATCGTAATTCACGATTACTTTATTGTCAACTTGCTTTTTTTGTTTTTGTTTTTATTTATACTTTCTGGTTATTTTAGTGATTGCTTACACTAATTACCGTCCTTCCGCTTAAATTCTAGTTTTTAACTTTTTTTTCAATCTCGTTTTATGTTTTCGCAAATTGTTATTTATTATTGATCGTGAAAATAAATTAAATTTCTGTAAAAATTTAATCAATGTTTGTACAGTCGCTTTTCTCTAATCGGAACCTTAATAAATTCTGAGAACCGAACGTAAAACTCTAGAACATTTGTAGATTTTATTATAAAGTTCGAATTATTAATATAATACCTCTTTGAGAACTGACCAATTTTACATATGACTGTACTTCCTTTAAAAAAAAATTGTAATTTGCGGATCACTTTGTAATTATATTTTGAAAGATTATTTTTACCCTATGCCAGGAAATGGGCTGGTTGGTCAAAAACTATGGTTATTCTCAAGGGCACCACCGTGACTTGACGAGTGCACTGAATAGGTATTTTGCAGATCAGTATGGTATAGGTGGGCAGATTAGTATAGTATAGGCCGATTTTTAAATCTATACTACAGTTAGAGTTGTATAACTTACTGTAAGTTATTTTTAAAATGTAAGTTACATTTTAAGTTATGTAAGTTACCATGTAAGGTAAGTTATATATAATAATAATAATAATTTCATCCTTTAATAACTATAATGCTGGCTAAATTTATTCTGGCCGGCATTAATATCAAAGTCGGCCTGCTTTACTAATTATATGTTTTGTAACTTACATAGAGTCATGTAACTTACGATGTAAGTTACAATGTAAGTTACATTGTCAGGTAAGTTATTACAACCCTAGTGGACATTGGTCCCATGGAATTTCTTGAGCTCCAAGATAATCTGAGACTTCAAACCGTGGGCATCTATTTTGAAACATTGAAGCTAATAAAGAATTAGATTGGCTTTGCAGATTATCATTTTCTTCTATTCTATACATAACCCATGACTCTTTATATTTGGTTTTAAACAATTTATGTATTTTTTTTTTTAGAGATTCTGATATAAAAGAAAGAGGCTTGCACCAAGAATCCAAAAGCGTTGCCAACATGGCTTCATCACTAGGCACGTTCCAATAATGGATCATAGTATCATATAACACTGACTTTATTTTTCCTTCAAGATTTGTACAATTTTGTAGATTATTAATCTTAATTCAACGCCGCTTTTCATTTGATGCGCAGTCTTCTTGTACTCTATCTTCATCTTCATCTTTATAAATGACATCGTCTTCAAAAACATCATTAGCAAAATCAAAATCCATATCCGAAGTTTTATTAAATGAAAGAAGCCCTTGCTCAATTATGGCAATTGCACTATACATAAAACTGATCGTGGCATATTTGCTGCCTCCCAATGATTCAGTTGCTTTAGCAAAAGGCCTCAACACTTCAGTTAATAATAATATAGCATAAATATCTAGCACAAGTAGAATTATATTATCAAGAAGATCCTTGAGTGCAAGATATTCAGCATTTTTACACAAAGATTCAAATTTTGCTTCAATAGTCAAAGCAATCTCTTGCCAGGCACTATGGGAAATCTCCAAAAGAAGATTGATTTGCCATAGCTTGGGGTTTTGTGCAAGGGGCTTCCGTTCTCCAAAGATATACTTATACATTGCAGAAAAAAAAGGGTGGTACTGAAGAAATACTAGTTCTCGACTATTTAACAAAATGTAAAGAGGACCTATTATGGGAAGGAAAGATAATATTTTGTCAGTAATATTTGATAATTCTTGATGTAACAAATAACACGAAATTGCTGTTTGAAGATGAATTTGCCCAGGCCAATCGGCAACAACAGGTATAATATTTCCACTCTCTATATATTGTTGCATAAACAGAACACTTGCAACAGCACTGATAGCTTTAATATATGCATCGGTGGTGTGAAGGTTACTTTTTTGTAAATCTATAAGAATGATGTCTTTCATGGAATATGCGCTTCGTTTTTCCTTTAACCTAATATCACAATTATGTGTAGTTAGTTCTTCCATTCTTGTATTATCATCTACTACCCAAAACCCCAATGACAATTATGTGAAAAACCAAAAAACTTCATAAACTTATTTGCCATATTTATTTTAATTAATTTGGCATCAACTAAAAGAGGGTTGTGAATATTTATTCTTGAAACTGCCCGTTGTGTCATAATCAGATTCATTAAAATTGTTGCCTGGTGTGCAGTGTCCGACATGGTAGTTGTATTTAGCATTCTCTTTGTATAAATGCTGTGATAATCATCGATATTTAAGACCATTGCACTTTCTATATATTGTGCAAGTGCTGAATCAACAGTGCTAGCATGTTTTTCGGATATGGTCATTTTATGCTGAAAAACTGTGCGAGATATCATTGCTACACATAAATCAGCAAGAGTATCTATAGAAGAATTAGATGCACCAACAGAATCTAAATATATAGCTACATCACTCTTCATATTATTTACAAACTTGTTCCGAATTCCACAAAGAAAATAACAGGCGAATAAAAGCTGCTTTTTTATTCGTATCTGTGATTCTTTATTTTTAGAAAGTGGGTTAGACGATAAATACAATTCTTTAAAAAACAACTTTAATCTCTCATCTTTTTGTTCTATAGTTGTCTTAAATTCGTCAAATGAATATATTGTTGGCTTTTTTTCTTTAACCTCTCGCTTGTATAAAATATTCATTATTGACTCTATTGCTTGAGAAAAAGACAAAGTGGAGTTAGTATTTTCAACTTCAATTTCAGTATCAACAGATCTGATCTCTTCAAAATGCTCTTTGAATTCAATTGAACTGTTTACGGCAATGCCATTATAATAGTTTGAGCAAACTGTGTTGCCTAATCGAAGATAACTTGGTAAAGTATGATTAGATCAGGCTTTAGAAAAAAAACTTTCAGAAACCCTTCTCCATTGAGTTGAAGCTTTTTGGCAAATAGTAATAACACATGGTTTAGTAAGTCATAGCATATTTTCTCTTTGAATAAATGCTTTGTTATGCTTTTATTATTTTTATATAGCAAAGATTAACACTTTAGAAGCTAAGAAGACTTGAAAGTTAAATAAAGTACTTTAACTGTATAAATTACGTATAAATTACTCAATTGATCAAATGATAATTTGATTGGTTAATTATTA